ATGTTATTTATTTACCATGAGTGATGTACTGTGTGTGACGGACTAGAGGGTAGGAGTACAATGTGCCTGCGTTTTCTTGAGCTCCGGAACCTCTACTCTAACTCATTTACAAGAATTGACAAGAAAATATTCATACCCGTGTAGTAAACATTATTTGCAAAGGCGAAATAGCTATAGGTTTTGATTATTATCCTTTAGCGTGCTCTACGCAAAGAAATTAATTTACTGCCACGAGAACATGGGAAACGATTATTTGAAAAACTGTAAAAATGTATTGTATCTGAGAAGCTGAGATAAAATACTTGTTACAGGCAAATTTAGCCTTTTCGAATTACTACGGATAAGTGGTAATAAATACATTAAATATCATCCTTAAAATCAATATAATTTTACTTTTAGGTACTCTGCCCATAATAATATCTAATTCTAAAGAAACTGTTATGAAGACGAAAATCATTTACTTGGCACTTAAACTCAGCCCTTATGTGTAGATTTATTTGCATTTAATGTCATTTGACAATGGGTTGAAACGTTTGCAGCTAGATGTTGATTCTGAGGGTAGGTAAATATGATCATAATTAATACGTCGAGTATTGTAGTTATCTGTATTACTGAAAGTATGTTCCCAACACTGAGTAAATAACTTTTGACAAAAAATATTTGATTTGTAAGTCAGGAAGCAAGATAATGGTACGATTCTTATCATAATAAAGAGATTCTAACAATAATCAAATGAAAGGGATTTGATTATTATTTGTACAATTTTTTGTAATCCAAATAACAGACATCGTAAACGACGTTCAACATACGAACATGTTTGAAGTATATTTTCCTTATCATCAGTGACCTCCAGGTAACATGGAAATCATGTATCACATTATAATAATATTTTATAAATATACACAAATTATATGGAATATTGCTACTGTTTATATCAAATATGAATTCCACAATATTTCTGCAATACCACCAATTTTTTCCATTAGTCGACAATTTCTCAGTAAAGACAGCATCAGAGGTGTGTGATATCTAAATGTTCAACCCTCCGGAGATATAATAATGCCCATAGCGCTTCTAATAGTAAAAGGCCCTTCAAACCTTTTCGATTATAAATTGTGCAAGTGCCGGTTGTTTCATAAAATTCTGAATAACCAACGGGGGGAATAATACGTGTTAGGTAGAGTCTCAAAGGTAGGATGATCTAATAACACTGGTCAGCAGCGTTTTTGTATGAGTCTGAATGGTGTGTTTAGCTAAGACGTGAACCATAAATTCGAGTATGAAATCACTTTTTGCCTATTAGGCTTAGTTTTCTTGTGACAACTCCCTCTCTACGGAAATGCTTAAAAACGTTGAATATTGGTTATTTTACTGTACCGTAAGTGGATTACTTTGAAAATGTTCAGGAACAATCGAAACGTGTACAGGAAATTCCCTTACATGACACTGAATGCAGAAAATACATCTCTAGAAAATGAAACCGGTTTGACAACATTGCTGATAAGTCATGTCAGAACAGATAGAATCTCGTTGAGTTTCTTACCAGTTGCGTCCCAGCATTGAGAGATCAGATAGCAAGGACAGTACTTTGATGTGACTACTTGTGGTTCTAGGCTCGTGAAAGCTTTTGCTTAGAATTAGTTTAAAGGAAGAAATGCCTCGTAACTGTGTAAATAGTCCAAATCTATTTTTTTATATCTGTGAAGCCTTCACTCTCAAATCGTAAATTAATGCTCTGATACGGAAGTAGTACGAACTTTATTTCGGGCATAAAATCAGCGATGACAATACGATATGCTCCTTCCCCGCCATATTTGCTGTCGTGTCGTTGCAGTCGTGTGATATACTCTGTCATGCTCGTTACAAGGTTCACAACATATGCACGTTGCTGTTTCGATTTGAAGGGAATCAATGGATCACACAACAGCCTGTTATTCCCGTCGGACAAAAATATCGAGAATCACCTCAAAACGAAGAAAACTGTGCAATATCCTAATTAACTGCCACTATAAGAATGTGACAATGACGAACACGTAGTCGCCAGAGTCGAAGACAGAGGTATTCTTACTGACCAAAACAGTTCAAACCTCCTGTGACCCAAATTTACCACACTTTTTGTGTCAATGGGATCTCAAAGATCTTGTTTGGAATTTAAATTTTTTGAAGCAACAGACCAAGATTTTAGCTTCGCAACTAAAAGAATGTAATGTTCTTTACTACTGAGTAAAACTCAGTGTTTGCCGTGATCACCAAGTAATTTTTTAAACATATTTCTCCAGGAAAAGTGACACAGTCTTTTGTTGTGATATCAAGGCACTTATGGAGACTCTTGGCCACGATTTCAATGTATCTAAATGGCGCGTGTTTATTTATTCCAGGAAAATAAGTCTGAAAATAGTGTTTTTTCTACAATGGGAACAAATTTACTTTTGTTTCTGATTTTCATGCAATTAATCGGATGGAGATATATGAGAACGTCACACTGATCGAATGTGAAAATACAAATGGATTATATTTAACGTTTAAGGATATTTAACATTTATTTTAAATTTTTTTATTCTTGGTCCATGTATTTAGAACAGACTACTATTAGAAGTAAATTAATCATTCATGTAAATATGCATTTTTATTGCAACAGTTTTCAAGAATATTATTTTTCTCTTCATGAGGCTAAACTATTATTTTTAAATAATTCATATTATGATTCAATGTAAAGGAACTAATGACGATTGTGATTCGATCAAAAGAGAAATTAATCAATGATTACTCAATATGTCATATGATGCTTACCTAAAATATTAATAATCAAAAATTTTAAATTCAAAACTAAGTAAAATGTTCAGTTTATGATACCATGGTTATCTGTCTTGACACTTCAATTAAAAAAAACGACCTCATTTGACTCACTTTTGAATTTAAAGCTCTTAAAAAGAAGGTCGTTTACTGTGTTTGATACTTTTCTTGATTTTTACGGCTCAGCTGCCTTTGGCCGTACAGTCGGTGTGATTTGTATGATATACATTATATATCAATAAATTCAAGTAAGTTTTTAAAGGTCAAGGGGCTATTAGTATTATATCTGTTTCATGCACGTTTCGAACTGCTTGTAATTCTCTTCTATGTTGTAGAATACGTTTTGCATTTCCAGCTATTATCTTGAAACTTTTGTTCATAATTTGGTTATTAATTTGGACATGTTCAATAATCTTACATGTAATAATGATCATCGGTTTCAGTGCATTTCTTCATTGTGCTAGTTTGTGTAGGGTTTAGTTTGGAGCATGCATTCGGTATCATTGGTATCATTCAAGTATAATCATGTTGCTCAAGAGAAAATACAGGGGAATATGACTACGATGAACAGCAAGATTACGCATTATTAAATGTAATTGTACGATGCCTTTGTATTATTTACTCTTTTAGCACTAGAGCGGTGCACAGAGAGACAATTCCATGCGCCAGAAAATCCAAGAGTAAAATTATACAAGGCCAAGCCACGGGACCTGCCTTTCTGCTTGACAATAGTGAATAGACTAAGCTATCTCATCAGAGTTCATTCGAAAATTTCTATGCGGTCTCTCGGGTTAGCGCACAGTAAGGTAATGAACGGTGCATCAGCATGAAAGCACACTTTCTACTAGGCGCCGTGGTTGGAAATTCTTGAGAAAGGCTTCCTCTCGCCAGCTAAAGATTAACGCGGAGGTAATGAGGAGGAGCGACACGCGAGCACCAGCAAAACTATCTTTAGTACAAACTTCGCTTACGAGTGTCTTATCTTTAGAGTCAGGAGATAATATACAGTACTTTTGTATGCGTCGCAGAATTGTGGCTGTGCACGTAACACAGACGGGTTCCTGGGAATGAGAACTTTTATTTTAATAAAAATACCTACTACTAGCTTACTTTGTGCGGATGGTACAATATAAAACGCACCACAACTTTATATTCATCGTGCCCTGTTTGATACTCTATCACTCGATATACAGTTGCATTGTTCACAACTTTCAGACTTGTTAGTTTGACTGAACATTGAGGAAACTAGTAAGAGAATTGCAAACCATTTCAATACATTTTAAAAATCTTACTCATTTTTTAAAATATGTTTTTATTATTGGATAACACCAAAAAAATCTGGTGTTATTTATAATAGTCAAACATGTAATGTAAAAAAATGTTTTTTTTTAATTTTAATTAATCCATGGGAATTTTCAATTTATTGTAGTTTGATATAATTATTTCACAAATAAAAGTTCATTAAAACAATTGAAAACGAAAATGTCATATGTCGTAATGTTACTCAACATGTTTCAGTAATATGCATTTCTTTAACTTCATGTAATAAAAAAAGGTAACGAGATGGAAGTAAAAGATTTCTACGTTGAATACTCTAGACATGCAATTTCAAGACAGAAAGGCTGATAACCATCGACCTCTCACTGGCGAGGAAAGCGAGCCTCTGCCAGTCATCGGATGGGGAGAAATTGGTCTGGGAAGGGAACAGCTCGGAGGCGCTGTGCCTCGCGCCTGGGAGACTAATCTGGACGGAGCGGAGGAGACAGGCGCGGACGCCTGTGCCATTGCGTGAGAACTTCCTCATTCGCGAAGCTGATTACAAGTAATATTTAAATGCTTACAACTGTACATTCTACGCTCACTGTTGGATTTAATATTACACCAATTTCATCAGATAATTATCATCCGCCTATAATTCTACATACATTTTAGGCCCCTTTTGTACTCAACCGAAATGTGTTTAATATTGTGAGGTACTTCTCTACTCTACTCTACTCTACTCTACTCTACTCTACACGTTTCGTCTGTATTTTGCAAGTGTGCCTAATTTGCTTTCTCCTGTGAACAAATTCTTCACAATAAAGTGATGTTTCCACCAATATATGTTCTCTTTTTATTCATTACTTAGCCTATTTCTAGCCACAGATATGCTACAACATTTACCTCCTTTCTTTCTTAAACACTCAGGTAACCCAATTTGTATCAGTTTATTCAACATTATATCTAGACCCAATCCTACACTCATATAACACTTCCTGAATATCTCTATCTCTATCAGCTACCACACTAGTAATTTCTGCTCTTTCATCCACGCCTATTCCCAAAAGTTGTAGTAAGATAGGACATCGTGGTGAATAAATAAGGGAAAATATGTAAAAAAGTATGTTTTATTATACAAAGTACAAAATAAACAACTCGACAGGTAACAATCCAACAGAGGGAGTAACAGACTAGAGGGCGCGGGGTCGCGCTTTGTACAAAGAGCCGAACGGGCCCACGGCGTTCGAAGGGAAGTATTTACAAGGAGGACGGGGAGGTGGGGCTCACTTGTCGTAGCCTCCGTGGCCACCTCCTCCGCCACCTCCACCGCCGACGCCCCGCCGCCGCCTCCGTGCCCACGCAAAACCTCCGCCGCCTCCGAATCCGCCACCTCCGTGGCCTCCCAAGTCGTCCGCCGCCATGGCCTCCAAACCCGTCGCCGCCGCCGCCGCCTCCATACCGCCGCCGCCTCGTGACCACCGAGGTCTCCTCCACCTCTCGTAACCGCCGCCTCCGTGTCCACTGCTCCGAATCCGCCGCCTCCGTAGCCACCGCCTCCGCCGCCTCCGTGCCACCGACTCCTCCAACCTCCGTCAGCCACCGCCTCCGTGCCCCCCGCACGATGTCCCGACCGCCTCGTAGCCTCCGCCACCATGGCCTCCCGAGGTCGGTTACCGCCTCCGCTGAAGCCGTGGTCTCGTGGCCACCGCCGAAGCCACCCTCCTCCTCCCCGCCGCCCTTCCGTAGCCTCATATTCGCCGCCTCCGAATCCTCCTTCCACTGGCCGCCTCGATTCACCACCCGCCGCACGCCCCGCCTCCGTAGGATATCCACCTTCCGTGATCACCTCCGCCGAATCCACCGCCGCCGCCTCTGGCCTCGAAGTCACACCTCCATGACCGCCTCCAATCACCACCTCCCACTGCCGCCTCCGAAGTCACCACCTCCATGGCCGCCTCCGAAGTCACCACCTCCATGGCCGCCTCCGAAGCCACCGCCTCCATGGCCGCCTCCGAAGCCACCGCCTCCTCCATATCCACCTCCAAATCCACCTCCATGGCCACCTCCGAAGCCACCGCCGCCTCCGTATCCACCTCCGTGGCCGCCTCCTCCAAAGCCTCCCCCGTGGCCACCTCCACCGCCGCCGCCAAATCCGCCTCCGTGGCCGTGATCTTCTATGACGACGTAATGGCTACCGCCACCCCCGCCGCCTCCGCCGCCGCCATGGCCGCCGCCGCCACCACCCTTAATGTGTTTGTAGACGGTATGCGTATGATGAATATGTTTGATCTTCAGTGGAACGTGAATGATCACATGCTTCCTGAGAATTGAGAGACAGAACTTTTAGAATTACGCCTTACAGAATTAAAAGAGTTCGGGTGTGAAACGTGATAACTCATACAGAAACGCTTTCCAGAAATAAGCAAGTGAACATTTTGGTCCATGGGTTGTAAGTGTATTTAAAGAAAGTTCCCAGAATAGAGAGCCAACTATGAATTTGATCTATTTGAGATTGGAAAACAGTAAGTAAGAGCAAAAAATAGAGCAAATGGTAAGAGCAAAAAATTACTATTTCACAAAAGCATTTTGGGAGATTTTTTTCACGCCTGAGCCCTTCAATTAATAAAATAAAATTGAGCTGATGATCCTAAAACTCACCCGCCGCCATGGCCGCCTCCACCTCCGCCCCCGCCGCCACACACTCCGGCTGCTGCCACAAGCAGCGTTAATAACTGCGGAATAAATTGCATTTAGTATTCATAATTACATCTTTAGCGAAATGCTACCAAGTGTACAACATTTTATTACTCCGTGATGGGAGAATAATGTCTCCCAAATTAGATGTATGGTGAAGCTTTCTACATTAAAATTACATTATGAGTTGGTTAGTGCAATCGCCTCACATTAACACCTCGTTATTGAGAACGACGAAGGTAGCTGAACTTAATTCTTAATTTTATTTCAGAATAATAAGGATCGGATGGCTTTTTCAAATGAACATACGATATTGTGTAATTTAATGCAAAAAAAAATTAACCATACTATATTAGTTGATGTATCTATAATATGAAGATTGCAATAATCTAAATATATGGTTGAGTTATTGTACCAAAATAAATATTCAAAACCCTGCTATTCTCCCCTTTAGTGAGGACAAAACTTCTAAACATTAAATGTTTCCATTCAGAGGTTTCCCTTTTACTGTGGAGCATATAGTCGAACAAATAAATTTCTTTTGAAAAGAGACAAAAAATTAAATAAAATGTTCTTCACTGATTCGAAGAAAGATTTGAACGAAGTTTCGGTGTTTTATTTATATGAATTGAATACTGACACTATTAAGGCAATTGATGATTTGCAATTTTGACATTTAAAAAAATTCTAAGTTAAGATACAGGCCAATTTAAAGCCTCAATCCAATCACAGCAAATCGTAGGACTTTGAAGACAATTTCTGCAATATCGTTAAATTCAGCTTGTAGAAGTTCTATTAATTCATGTTTAATTCGAAAAAAATGATAGTATGTCCAAATGAATGATTTTGTGTTAAAGTCATGAGATGCTTTTATCATTTATACGTTTTTATATTGCCGATTCTTGTGAATCAGTACTTGGAATTTAACAAAAAGAACTTTCACCATTTTCAATCACCCGAATTCAATTCTTCTCAATCACTAGCATCATTTGACAAATTCAAAGAGGATATGACTCTGAGAACACTATTATAGTTTCGCTGAATGATTGATTAATGAACTAAACGAATGATTGACTCTTTAAACTATTGATTAGCCAGGCGATTGATTGACCAAATGTGTGATTGACCAAACGATTGATTGACCAAATGATTTATTGACTACATTACTAGTTGACTAAATGATTGGTACACTTAATGACTGACTGACTAATTCACATGTCGATTAAATGACTAGATTATTGACTCCCTGAATGATAAGTGCAAACGCAATGATTGGCCGGAACCGATAAGCGAAGCGCGCGTCGCAATGATCGTCTGGGGGCCGGATGTGTGCGATGTCGGCCGCCGGCCTGGTCGGGCACTCACCGCGGTGCGTAGCGCCATGCCGCCTACAGAGGAGCCGCGTCCCCCGATGTGTGCGCTTGGGCCGCCGGGGAAGCTGTGCCGTCCGCCGGGCGACGGGCGCGCTATATAGGCGGCGGCGCGCGGCCGGACAAAAGGAAGCACGCGCCGGCGGCGGCGGCGGCGGCGGCGGCAACCCCGACCTTCCAGCGCGGGGAAGGGCGAAGCCTCCCGCGTTGAGGTAACCGCCGCCACCGCCGCCAATGCCGCGCTTTCCTCCCGCCCGGCACCGCCGCCCCGCCCCCGCCGCCGCCGCTTCGCCCGCTACCGTCGCAATAGTCCGCTCGCTCGCCCTTTCACTGGCGTGCCCCGCCCCCTCCGGCCGCCCCCGCTCACGCGCTCCCCGCTCGCTTCGCCCCGCTAGCGCCGCCACGCGAGGATACAGCCGGTGCCTCTGCCGAGAGGCGGTGCGTCCTCGCAGTTCCGCAGTGTCACGCGGTCTTCTACTGAGCAGAACGTTCTCAATTGGGTTTACACTGCGGAGTTCCTTTTGCATCGGAGCCTTCGCCGTAGGAACGACAGTGTTGAGGAATGTGCTTGTTACATATAGCACGGTAGTTGCAAGCTAATTTGTTCTTTAGGCTCTAAAAGCTGATTAGGTCAGTAGGACAGCACAGCGAATTTTACTTATATTTATACTTGGTAACTCTTGGTGAGTGTTATACAGCAAAATTATTCCATGCTGAACGGAGAAGTGTTTAGTGAATGTGCAATATGATCGTTACCAGGTACAGGGATGTTTCTTATTTCTAACGATTTAAAATGATTTGCCTAGGGAGTTGTTCTGCCAACTTTAAAATAATATTGTACTGATAATTAAAGAATTTCCATAACACTAACACGTGGAATCCACTCTGGATCACGTAAAATACAAGCCGAAAAGTTGTATACAACACCAATCTTTTTTGGTTTGGTTGTTGTCAAAATCCAGTTAAAAACAGTTTTTGTTAAATTATTTACTGCTCAATCAAATATTGAAATAGACAATGCATTTGAAAATGCTGCGAAACACTGATCATACATTTTAAGGAATTTCTTGATTTCAGTTTATCCAAAGTTTTTTATACACACTGATTACATCTAGTTATTTAGCTAAGTAAGAGTAACATTTAGAAAAAAAAATTACTTAAAATTAACTGTGCACATTCTTCAATCCCGTAAGAAAAAACGAAAAAAATAAACAAAAGAAAACATCTCTCGCATTTAAAAATGTTTAAATACGTTTTTATGTTAGTTAATATTCCTCACTTGGGTGTTATTTGTTATAAAATTAGTGAGTTCACAATGCCTTATTCAGTAAGATAAGTAAGAGTATGTAAACAGTATAAAGTAGGCATTGAAAAGACAAATAGCGCTTGTAGGGGCATTAGCCGAGAAATGTCTCAGTTTTCAATGAGTGAGAAGCTTAATGGTATTTTCATACACGAAGTGTCTCAAATATGTTGAATTGCAAGGAGATTTTAAAGTATTTTGAGAACGTTTCAGAAAGACAGACTGTATTTAACGATATGTCAATCTCATGTTCGATGTAGTCTTACAGGAACATGTTGATTATTGATATCGAACTGTTTGATATAGAAAGTATTTAATGAAGGTTTCTAATAGTTTTGTTCAGCCAACAAGGGTTTTGTAAAATCTACCCAGCTAGTTAGTATATTAATTAATATAAATATCTGGTAGATTCCAATGTATCATTGTTTATTAGAAGAATCGCTAAACAAATGTGCGACATAACGTCGATGAAGTTCAGTATATTCTAGTAATTCACAGAACGATATTTAATGTCCATGCACAACCATTATTAATAACTGAAGTGTTCTCTTCAATTAAGTAATAAATCATATTATTCGTGATAGTACTTGTCCTAATCCCCTTGTCGAACAAATTAATTTGGGAGGGGAAACGACATTCATTGCGCAAAAAGCGGATTAATAAATTCTTCCAGGATACAGTTTTCTACACTAAATTCCCAAACAAGTCATTTGGCATGTAAATACCTGGCTTATTATTAAAATTATGTCTTAAAAAAACTAAAAGTCATGTTGTTTGGTGATATTCTTATCATACAGTTTATTCTCAGTTTGTTGTTGTTAGAGCGCAAAGAAGAGTTTAAAAGGTATTTAAACGATGGTTCTGAGGTGTACCACAATGAATCCGATCCCTTCAATTGTCTCCCCCCCCCTTCCGAACCCCCGCCTCCGCCGCGCTCGCAACCCCGCGCCGCGGAGGGGACCGGTGGGGCGGCGGCGTCGGTCGGGCAGCGGGAGGCGCGAGGCTTGACCGCCGACGGGAGGGAAGAGGAGTGGGAGAGGGTGGGGAGAGAGAGCCGGAGTGGGGGCGGGGCTCCGCTCAGAAGATGTTTGTTCGCGGGGCACCGCTCTCCCGGCGCGAGTCCCGGGTTCGAGTGCAGACGTTGCCTCAGGCACAGGCAGGGGCTCCTCACGAGCGCCCGGCGCTGGGGCCACGCCCCCTACGAGAGCGCCGTCTCTTCCGTGTGCGCTGCGCGACTCTGCGAGGCCGAGCACTTCCGTCGGGCCAGGCGCGCATTCGAGGCGAAAAGATACGCGTAATGTACCTTCCTTAGTTAATGACGTTCATTTTAACGTTAATGCATTTTCTGAGAGAGCGTTTTTACATGATGAGCTGAAATGGACACGAATGTGTTACATTAAATAGCTTAGTTCACCTTCAATATATTGTTACGTTTATTTCCGATATTTATTTCTGATACATTCAAATCAGATAAGAATCTGTCAGACTGGAATAGCGTTTTTTATTTCTAGTATAACGATAAATTCATTTCTGCGTCGAAAATTTAATGTGTGTCAGCTGTGTTAGAATGAAATTATTATAAGAAAAGTGTTTCAATTTTTATTATAACCTTTTTAAACTTTTAACTTTGAAATAGTTAATGTATTGACTGCACTTAAAATAACGTATGTTTAGCAACGATGTACCACTATAGATTATTGTAATGAAGTGGAAGTATAACAAAACTATTGTAGTTATTCTTGCTGTATTTTAGAGTACTTTGGTCAAATCATATTTTCTATGCATTGCGAAAAGATAATGAACTATTTACTATCGTGAAAATTTTCCGTAGACCTATCAACATAGATGAGCCATTTGGGACTAGTATATTCTTTTGTTGTACTTTCCAGAACATGGGGTGCTCACGAGATATTTTTAAAATTTACACTGCCAGACACATATTTCTTAGTTTTAGTTTGACATATATTGTGTCTGGTCTAGAATAATTGGACTTAGTTATTTTAAGGCTACCACCACACAGAATTTCGAACGAAAATCACCAAGGAGAATCTCTCACTTGGTAAATCACAAACATCAAAATTTCTTCCTTACAACAACAACATACGATTTACATTGCAAGATGTAAAGGCGATAGTATACACACAATTCACGATGACTCCGTCGGTAGAAGAAATCGTCCTATTTGTCAGAGTAGTCAGCAAAAACCAAGTGGACCTCACCACCTCGCCGTGAAACTCACTTCTTGCGATCAAATTGCAGGTGCATCAGTACCACTGTCACTGTCATTAATACGCGCGCAAGTCGAGCAAAGTGCGCACGCAAAGGGAAACGGTTGGCGCTCGTTAAAATCTTCGCGACGAAGCCGCGGATGTAGAGCGGGGCGTTTCGCAAAGACGCCCCCTTTGGCAGCCGCTCCGATCCGCGCCAGCGGCTCTCTCGCGCGCGCACGCGGCTCCGAGCGATGGTGGCGGGCAGTTACGGAGCGGGTGCGGGGCGGTGTGTACGGAGCGCGTTGCGGGGCGGTGTTGCGGGGCGGTGTGCGAGCGGAAGTGCGGGGGCGGTGTGCGGGGCGGTGTGCGGGCGGTGTGCGGGGCGGTGTGCGGTTCGGTGTGCGGCGGTGGCGGGGTGGTGGGCGGGGCAGTAGGCCGTGCGGTGGTGCCGGGCGGTTAGGGAGGTGCACTGGTCGGGCTGTGGGACGAGGCGGTGGCGGGGCGGTGCGCGCGGGGGCTGGCGGGACGGTGGGCGGACGGTGCGCGGGGCGGTGCGCGGGGGCGGGTGCGCGGGCCGGTGCGCGGGGGCGGTGCGCGGGGGCGGTGCCGGGGCGGTGCGCGGGGCGGTGCGCGGGGCGGTGGGCGGGCGGTGCGCCGGGGCGGTGCGCGGGGGCGGTGCGCGGGGGCGTAGGAGGTGCGGTGGATATGTACTATAGTGGAGGTATGAACACGCAATTAAATGATTATTATTTTCACTTAATCACTCTTCACGTCTTAAATTTCCCATCTACGATGCGCCAAAGCATGCCGAGGACGGATGACACGTTTTTAGCGCCGTGTGTCATTTTGTGGCATTGGCGTACCAACTGTTGAAATATTATCCAGCGCCAGTTGATGCATTCTCTATACTGCAGCACCACGCGCGGTTAGCCAAACAAGTGACGTATCTGCCGCCCGACGCACGCATAGGCGGCGGAGCGGGGAAGCGGCAGCGGCGCCGCCCCCTGCGGTGCCACACGCCGCGCCACGTGCAACTGGAGCGGGGCGAGTGCCACAGGGAAGGGTCGCGGCGCTTCACTTCATCCAACACGTTTTAGGGTTTTTCGTTAGGACTTTTAAGGCTTCCACGTACTCCAAAGCTCTATTATAATTGCTTTCCGTGTCATAGATTTCATCACATATATTTAAAACATATCGTCTACAAAAAAAAAAAACATATTTAGCTCCCTAGGGATAATTTATGTACTCCCTTTTAAAGCCACCACGTTCAGAGTTTCTAACATTGCTACGATTGAATAGCACAGAAATTTTCAAATAAAAGAAAAATTATTTACTGCTACATGGTTGATCGAGGAGCCCAGAGGACATTTCCCGTTTATGAAGAGGAATGAAACAATTGATAGTTAGTTTGATTTCTTCAAAATAGATCGCTAAAATGAAGGACCGTTGGGCGAACATCGTTGAATCAGTTTGACGTTTCCATCACTTAGTTTGGTAGCCTTTGAATTTTACTCGAAATTTACTTTAATTACTCGTCGTATTTTTTTTG